GCTGTGGTCAAATTTGTACCCGGCTGCCGACTGACGGACATGGTCTATTCTGACGACATCGTCCCGATGGCGACTAGCTATGATGATCTACAGAATGCAGTGTCAAGGAATAAATGCAGTTGCCGAATCAGTCGATTTACCAATAAACGCTGGGAAACTTAGTTTTCTAGCTGCACTTCTGATTAGAAGGCAACCATCGGCATAAGTAGCTATCAGTGGACGGTTTAAAATGTCTCCGGGTCGGACTTCCTGTCACATGGATAGAGACAGGAAAACATCACCCGACTTGGTAACGGTCAAACACAATATACTCCTTATCCCAATCGTGACAAAGATTCGCGTGCTTCGGTCATCCGTCCGGCCGGCCTTCCCTTATGATTGTGAACGGTGGAGTATGCCTACCGATGGGCGAAAACCGAATGTTTGACCGCCGTTGCCTGATAACTATCTTTCAAACCAAGTATATCGGCTTCGTCTGGAAAGAGGTAGATTGCGCTGTCTATGAAACAACACGAGATCTCTTCCTATGAAAGGAAGATGATTGAGGTGATTTAAGTACATTTTCCGCCAGTCTTATTGGTTTAAGTGTTTCTGCACTTGATCTGGCGCCGCTGCATGCCTGGAGCCTGTGAAGGGGAGGACAGCCCAAAATCTGGAAGTACACAGACTTCCCGACTTTCCTACAATTACCTATGATTAAGGATTCTCGACAGAATCCGAAACGTCAGCAAAATAAAACATTTGTTCCAGTGATCGCATCTTCTTCTTCAGAACACAGTTTGTTGACACATGGAAATAGTAACTTGTACTTGGTACGACTGCGATCATGACTGACCTAGCCGGCCTCGATTATGTTCTGGATGGCAATTCCCCATAGGTGACAATCCGTGGCAGCAGACCCGAACAGTTCGATCCATTCTCCATAGCAAGGCCGGAGGCCGAATACAGAGCTAACCTCCTCTTCGACGTCTCCAATTGGGTAATGGTGTCAGACCGAGGGTAGTAACCCTGAGCTTGTGAGGTTGACTACAAAGAACGTGTCCAAACCATCTTATTCGTCCTTATTGGATGGCCAGGGATATTGTCGCAGTGAACGCAGACTGTCTCATTTGAGGCGAATTCGTTGATCTTCACTGGAAGGATAGCCATGAAGCAGTAATGGTCAAATACCTCCAGGTTTCTTTCAACTTCCACGCGCATAGCCAGCTTCATACCCATAGAAGACAGACCGAACGGATGTACAGTACACGCAAACCTTCGTGGCAATTGAAATATAGCGTCGGGTCCATACGCACCTTCGAAAGCTTGAGAAAAGTCCACGAGTTGCACCGATTTGGGAGACAATGTCATCCTTACTCTGCCAATTCGGCAGCAACATCGCTACGAGGTATTTGAAAATGTCTACTTCTTCAAGCCGACAGCCACTAATCTCGAGAGGTGCCATCTCTTGGACAGGGATGCAGCATGAAAACACTTTGGTTTTCTCAGCGTTTAGGAAAAAAACTGACCAATTTAGCGACCTCGTTCGCCTGTGACACCATAGACTGTAGACCGCCAAAGCTTGAAGCTAGTAAAGCGATATCATCGGCGTAGTCAAGTTCAGTTAATCGGCGTCCGGATGCAAGCTCAACACTATCCTCTTCACGTGGGACCTTCCCGAGAATCCAGTCAATGGCGAAGGCGAATGGAATGGGCGACATGACAGGGCCTTGTCGAACGCCAGACCGAATAGGGAACGGTTCTGAAAGACTGTTATGGACCAGAATCCGCGTAGTGGTAGAGTAATAGTAGGCCCTGATCATGGCGATGATTTCTGGTGGTACACCACCCAGTACCATTATCCGTTACAGGGACTCACGATGGACGGAATCGAACACAGCGGCAACATCAACAAAGAAGAGGGCTATTGGTTGTCGGTAGTTGTGGCGAAATTCAAGGATGCGTCTCGGTTTGAATATCTTGTCTGCAAATCCAGGCCAGCGCGGAATCCGGCTTGATTAGGCCTCGTCCCAGAGTCACGCACAGACTGAAATCGTCTGAGAAGAACAATAGCCAAGATCTTCGCAGCGACGTCGATAGGACTTCTGCCGCGGTAGTTCTCGCATCTTGTTTTAACGTCCCTCCTGTAGACAGTCACAAGGATGCCCTGGTTTATCTGCTGACTGACGGGCGCGCCCACAGGTAGTGGATAGTGGAACGGCCTTCAGTGAAGGTCAGCTATGAAATAAGAAGGCTTCTAAGTCTAGCGAATAAGCAGCCGCGGACCAGCAGCGACAGTGCTATCGGGGCGTGGCGGGCTGAGGTCTGACAACAAAAAAGCCTATAAAATGTCACAAAGCCTGAGGACGGCACTGTGACATGGCGACCGTAAACCGCCATTAAGCAAGTTCACTTGCCACCGCTGCTTTGTGGTTAGTATATTGAGCCAAAGCGCTAGAGCAGACAACCTCGAACAAAAAATCACAGCGGCTGCTTGGG